GGTGGGGTGCGGGGGGCGGTTAGTCGCCGCGAGGACCGCACACCCGGAGAGGGGCGCGCCGGCCCCCGGCTCTCCAGGGGTCGCAGAAGTGCGCCCCAGGCGGCGGAAGGGGAAGGAGAAGCCGGCTAGCGGTCCGGGGAGCCCAGCCGGAGTCCCTCCACCGGCAAAAGCAGCGGCGACCGCGCAGCGGGGAAAAGCCACCGGGAACTCGGCGGTGGCGGCGGCCCGGGCTCCGGTGGCCCCGGCCGCGAGCGCACGCCCCAGCCCCCGGCGCAGCCCGGCGTTACCTTGCCGCTGCCCGCAGTCCGGCCCTCGCTCGCCGCGGCCGCCCGTCGGTTCCCGCGAGCTTCGGAGGCAGGACGAAAGATATGTCCCCGTGGCTGGGACAGGCTCTCAGCGACGCGAGGCGAAGGACTCGAGAGAGGAGCCGAGGCGGCTGCGACCGCTCCCGCTGCGGATGCCGCCGATTCCCCGGGGCCGGAGGTGTTGGAGAGGCCGGGTCCTCGGGATTGCGGCTCCCGGAGCGCAGCGCTCGCCTCTGGCGCGGAGGCTCAGTGGCGGGACGCGGCGGGCTGGGGCGGCGAGGCTGGGCTGGTCACCCGCCCCTGGGTGCATGTTAATACGGTGGGGAGGAGGAGTCCCGCGCTTCCTCCGCCCAACCGCCGGAGCCGGCGGGCGAGTGACGGCCGAGGCCCGGAGCCCGCGCTCCCACCCGCCCCGGCTACTACGGTGCGGCCACCAGCCCTGGCCCCGGCCCGGCACGTGCGCCCGGGCCGCGGGGAGGCGCCCGGCGTCCTGCGGGTGATGCCCGCTCCGCCTCCGGGCGGCAAGTGCGCTCACACGGGACGCAGAGGCCAGCCCCGCATCCCCGCGAAGGAACCGGGAGGCGGCCGCGCGTTGGTGGGCGTGCCCCGTGCGTTCCCCGGCGCTGCATCCGCGGAGAATGGAACCTGCCCCGCCTCACCTGCCAGCTCTGGTCCCCTAATCTTATCAGGAGCGCTCCACACTTTCTATCACAGGAGATCACGTAGGCGTGTAAAGGGTTTGCCCTTTTCTCTCCATCCTCGGGGTCCCTAATAGAATTTTTGAAAACGCAATCGCCAGGGAGGAGCCCGGGTTGTGGACCTAGTCTAGACTCACCAGGACCGACGGCTCACACCCCGTGCCCTTACTTCCAAACAGTTATTCCTCAGAGCCTCAGTTTCCCCATCTGTACAACGAAGGCTCTTGGGGGCGGGAGGGGGGATTGTGGATTAGATTACACAATATATATTCCACCGATTTCTCTAGGTATTTAGAGAAAACCAAAAGTAATTAAGGAAATGAATCCCTTTTCTTCCTGTCTTCTGACCTCACTAAACGCTCAGCTCTCCATCTCAACTGCATTTGGGAGCCACGCCCATTCGCACAGGCTGAGAGGCACAAGGCCACGAGCTCTGAAAGTAAAAAACATCCCTAAGGCTTGTAAGTAAGAACAGAAATAAATATTCTGTGAATAGGTGAGATTTGGGTCAAAGAGAGAACGGAGTCAATCAATAAAGTGTTTATTGAGCTCCTGCTCAACCCACTTAAGTACTAGGTTCTGGATGATAAAAGTTAAAAAATAGTGGTTAATCACCGTCTTCCGTTTTCCCTCTACTCAATAAAGAATGGGCAACTTCACAGAGAAGGTTTGTCCTTTGTTCTATGGCTTCCAGAGAGAACATTATGCCGGAGAGTATATAATCTTCTTTATGTAATTGTACCCATAAACTTATAGCATAATATTTAGCATCTGCTTTGTGTGATATCTAATTATAAATATTAATAGAATATCCTTTTTAAAGAAAACACTTCTAAAAATGCAGAGAAGTGAAAAACAGCTTCCATAAAAACATGACTCAGATAAATAATCACTTTTCCGCAATTTCACTGAGTGATTTTCCATTAAAGAGGGGGGAAAAAAATCTTTAAACCACTTAACACTCAAAGAAATGGAGGTAAATCCTCAGAATAGTAGTACCATGACTATAATGCTTTAACAAAGCTCCAAAAGATATTGGCAGCCAATTCCAGAGTCACTATGTAGGAGCATTTATTTTTCAAATAAGACTCCATTCAGTTCAGTTCAGTTCAGTCGCTCAGTCATGTCCGACTCTCTGCGACCCCATGGACCCAGCACATCAGGCCTCCCTATCCATCACCAAGACGCATGAAAAGGCCAAATACTGACATAGGAAAAGTAGCCTTCATAATCTAGAGAGAGCAAACTACCTTGCATTCCCAGATTTGTAAGTATATTTAATCCACAGAATTTTTAAAGTGGTCACATAAATAAGAAGACCATTATAACTGTCATAAATAAGAAGACCATTATAACTGTCAGGCCCTAAATCAAATTAGGTGACTTTAGTGAATAAATTTGCTTGAGCAGAAAATCAATTTTCCTACAAAATTCTTATGGTAGATTCAACCAGGCAACAACAATATTTATATAACCCTGCTATTGTTAGGGCTTACTAATTGTTAGTGACAGAAACCTAACTTGGCAAACTGAAAAGTATTTATCGGAAAGATATTGAAAACTTTGCAGTCTTGAAACAGGCAGAGTTTGAGGCAATACTGTAGCTCTAGGAAGTTAGAAAGAGCAGTTTTGTTTAGTGTTGCAGTCAATGAAATTTACAGTTTACAGTCAGTAAATGCAACTACTATTTTGAACCTCACATTACTGGAGCAAGACTCAAGTCACAGAGCAGAGCATTTGACTAGTCAAACTTTGATCAGGCACCAACTCCTTGACTGGTCCAAATGAGGGGTAGGAAACATTTGGTTCTTTGATTTCCAGAATGAAAGGCAGGTACCTGGATTTTTTGTGTTTCCAAAACTACATATGATTGGAGGTAGTAATTCCTCAAAACAATTTATGGGAACTTTTAAGAAGGAGAATTTGATGCTGAGGTTGAAAAAAATCAATGTCTGTTACATTGTCTGGCTGTGAAGTTTACCCTGTAATGCTTAGTTATTTGGATATGAGCAATGATGCTATACAAGTAAAACTGAAAGTTTGTTTCAGTTACAGAATGCTATTTAATGTTTCATGTATGGCCAGTTACCTTTTTAATATAAGCATTCATTGTTGTTGTTGTTTTCGTTGCCAGGCAAGTCTGACTCTTTGCAACCTCATGGACTGTAGCCCACCAGGCTCTGCATCCATGGGATTTCCCAGGCAAGAATACTGGAGTGGATTGCCATTTCCTCCTTCAGGAAATCTTCTCCACCCAGGGATCGAACCATTGCAGGCAGATTCCTTAATGTCTGAAGCATAGTACCTATTATAAGAACTACTACTGGAAGCCATGGTGAGCAGCTATGTTCATTTCTTGTCAAGGATAGTATAGTAGCTGTATTATAGTGGCCCTGGAAAGATGTCCATGTCCTAATCCCTGGAGCCAATGAATGTTATCTTACATGGAAATTTGCAGATGTGATTAAGTAAAGGGTTTTGAGATGGGAAGTTCATCCCAGATTACCTCAGTGGGCACAATACAATCAAAAAAAGCTCTTACAAGAGGAAAACAAGAAAGTCAAAGGCAGAAGAAACAGGTGGAATGATGGAAGCAGAGGTTGGAGAAATGCGCTTTGAAGACAGAATAAGGAGGTCATGTGCAAAGGGATACAGAAGCTAAAAAAGTTAAAGATTCTTTCCTAGAGGCTCCAGAACTCATACCAGGCTGCTAACATGTTGATTTTATCCTAAATCGATTTCCGATTTCCAGGACTGAAAGATAATAAATTCATGTTGCTTTAAGCCATCAAGTTTCTGCAACAGCAGCTGGAGGAAACAACTAATCCAACCCCAGGGAACATCCTTCCCAGAGCAGATGTTGTTAGCAGGTGGCATGAGAGCATTTACTGTAGAAGAAACCCAGAAAGGTATAGCTACTCCTAAAGAAGATAGCTCAAAGGAGGCCAAGTCAGCAATAAGCTGGCAAAAGCAAGAGATGAGAAACCACAGACAGACAGGGCTTCTATTCAGGAGCTTCCGTTTCTATGGTTAACTCAATATGGTGGCACTCCCCCTAGACCACCACATGGTCAAACAGGTAAAATCCCACTAAAGTGAAAGAAGAAAAACTCAAAGGACAACATGAACAGTAAGTGTGAAACACATACAAGTTTTCTTCTACACTAACAGGGCTTTCCTGGTGGCTCAGATAGTAAAGTTTTCTTCTACAGTAACAAAGCATTCTCTCTGGCTCTCATGATTTTAAGTAATATTTAAATGGTGATTCCATATCTGTATCTTCAGCCTTGACCTCTCAGCTGGGTTTCATATTTGGCCATCCAAAGACCTGCTACACACATTCACTTGCAACTTTCACTGGCACCCAGTTCCAAATTAATCTCATCACTCTCTGCTCTTTCTATCCAGACTTTTATTCCTTTTCCTGTTATACTCTATGGACTCATGGCATCTGATACCAAGTCATCAACACCAGAAATCTGTGAGTTAATCTAGACTTACACATGCACCAATCACCTAATTCATCACCCAACACTATTAACTTCTCCTACCATCTGAACTGATCTCTATTTTTAAAAAAATGTCTGTCTCTTAAAAAGTTTTTATTTGACTGTGTTAGGCTTCCCAGGTGACACTCATGGTAAAGATCACATCTGCCAATGCAAAAGACACAAGAGACTCAGGCTTAATCCCTGAGTGGGGAAGATCCCCTGGAGGAAGAATTAGCAACCCACTCCAGTATTCTTGCCTGGAGAATCCCACAGATGAAGGAGCCTGGTGGGCTACAGTCCACAGGGCTGCAGAGTCAGACATGACTGATACAACTTAGCTCATGTTGGGTCTTAGTTGCAGCATGCAGAGATGATCTTTGTTGCATCATTCAGGCTCCAGAGTGCTCAGGCTCAGTAAACTGTGGTACACAGGCCTTGCTTGCCCTGCGGCACATGGAATCTTAGTTCCCTGATCAGAGACTAAGTCCGCATCGCCTGCATTGCAAGGTAGATTCTTAACCACTGAACCACCAGGGAAGTCCACCATTTGAACTCATCTTGGAATCCCTCCTAAATTTCCACTTCTATTATATACTCCCTTTGTATATCATATATCTCTATAAGACTTGGTCATCTCACCCTGGGTTTTATCCTCTTCTCTCCTATGCAGATGACACCACCCTTATGGCAGAAAGTGAAGAACTAATGAAAGTGAAAGAGGAGAGTGAAAAGTTGGCTTAATGCTCAACATTCAGAAAACATAGATCGTGGCATCTGGTCCCATGGCAAATAGATGGGGAAACATTGGAAACACTGGCAGACTTTATTTTTTTGAGCTCCAAAATCAC